GATAGATAAGTAAATAAAAATAAAAACATGAGACCTTAAAGAAGCAAGTTTGGAACAAATCACTGACGCAAACCAACATTTGTTGATTGCAATGAAGTTCCATTTACCCGTACAGTCTCTTGCATAAACCTTGACCATTACTGCAGGTTATTTTGACAGTCATCCTCAGAGCATACCTATGCAAGAGGCTGTTTCCACTTTGATGCCCACTGAAGTCCTCTGAGGGAAGCAAATTTCCTGGATCTTTTTGAGAGAATTTATTACAAGCATCTCTGCTTCCTCAAAGTCCCTGAGTGCTTATATTTCCTGCCATTGCTGGTACATGTAGTCACCAGGGCATAGTTTATGAATCCTGCCCCAGGGCAGCAGGGAAGCAGTTTTGGCAGCTGTAGCCTGTGAAATCTCTCTGGCAGTTTGATGAGCTTGTCCACTTTTTGGCAGCCAGGGGACCAGATGTAGCATGAAGCAAAGAGTCCTTGGTGTCAAGGCTCAGCTCAATAGTTGAGAAGCAACTCACTTTACTTCTGAGCCTGTTTCTCATTTGTGGATAGAGAAGATCAAGAGCTATACCTACCCCACAGGTGACTGGGTCTGAAGAGGGCTCACAGGGGATAATGTATTGCAAGCAAGCCCTTTGTAAAGATGCATATTCATATGAATTGTCTTTAATTTTTTTTTTGGTAGCTTCCCACTTTCTCACATCTTTTGGAGCTACCAAGAGAGGAAAATCCTTTTCTATAAAAATAAAATTAAAGGAGACATCCAGATGGATCTAGAGTGGGGGAGGATGGAGGATGTTAGGGAGAGAGGTGTGGGAATGTAGGAGGCTGCTTGTCCAGGCTGCCTTAGGAGGACTTTAGAGAAAGGGATGTTGTCAGCAGATAGTTAGAAGTCTTGCCTTGTGATGTGTGAGGTGACCCCACTTTTCCCCTTCAAGAAAACCACGGTAAAGAAAACCATTGTAATAATTACCACCTCCCATTAAAGAGGGCCATGAAAAATATTATTTGCAAATTTAAAAAAATGTTTTGAAGTCAGATTTGTAGTTATCTCTCTGCCAGCCCTCATGCATGAATCTCATGCTAATAGGATTGGTGTTAGGACAACAAGAGGGAAAGTAGCTCTGGATGACTTGGGTACACTAAGGTTCTATGCATGGAACCCCTCCCCCAAAGGAGGATTACATAAGAACATTCATGTAAGCTGCCTTGTATGCAGATGTTCAGTGCACAGCAGTTGTTATTATGAACTAAGACATTTGGTTAGACCATAAATGATCTGATAGTGAAGACTCAGTTTTTCTCATATTTCCCCAAAACCTAGGATGGGGCTACACCCTGAAGTTGATTGGGTGAAGTGAAGCCTGTATGCCCACGTGACATGCCCATTCTCTGGTGATTCCAGTCACACCATGCCTCACATCTGCTCTGAAGTTCTGGAGCCAGCAGGTTACTACCTGCTGTCTAGAATCTGTGGGGCCAACCATTCCCCCTGTCTGTAGCTGGGTCTTCCCAAGATACCTGTTTGTGTTTCTAAGCTTCTACCTTTTAATGTTCCTGTCCCCTAACCCCCTCCATGTCTGTTGGCCCATCTGTGCAGGTCTGCTTCACAGCAATTGGCAGAAGCTATCCATGGGTGCTTAAATTTAGAGACATTCTATTTCTATTTTCTCACTTGGACTCTACAGACTTAGTTGTATGTGTAAGCTTTACCTTTAAGCCTGGTAGCAAGGAGGGCCAGTGTAGAGATGCAGGCAGATCATGGCTCCTTTAGTCCCTGAGCCTAGGCTTATGTTGAACAGGATGTGCTGAAGGTGTGCATAGAAACAAAACTGTCAAGTTCTCTTTTTAAAGGTCTGCATGAGCATCTGTAAAGGGGCTGGAAAGAAGGATCTGGGGAGAAATTTTAACTGTCACCTCCTTTTGTCCCTACAAGACTCCTTTTGTCCAACTCAAGAGGTCCATGAAAATAGTTTGCAAAGTGGATTGTTGTTATTCAATAGTATAAGGTAGGGCCTTATTTGTATTAGTCAGGACATTGCCTAAAATGCTAAGGAAGGCATGAACTAAAATATTATGTCTGGGCCAAAGTAGGGAGAGTTGGGGAGGAGGGGAGGATGTCTTAGTCTGTTAAGGCTGCTGCAACAAAAATACCATAAAGTGGGTGATTTATAAGCAAACGAAATGTATTACTCACTGTTCTGCAGGCTGATAAGTCTGAGATGGAAGTGAAAACAGATTTGATGTCTGGTGGGAGTTTGCTCTCCTTCATAGCTGGCACCTTTTAGCTGCATCCTTGCATGGTGAAAGTGCTAGCAAGCTCTCTGGGGTCTCTTTTATAAGGGGTGGTCTCATCCATGAGGGTTCTGCCCTCATAACCTACCTTTCCAGAAGCCCTTCCTCCTAATACTATAACCTGGGGATTAGGACTTCAATGGGTGACTTTTTTTGTATGGGGGACACATTCAAATGGTGGGGATGGAGGCTGCAGAACTTTCCAGTGGGAAGGTAGATATGCTTACTTCTAAGAAAAACAATCAAGGAAGGAACTCCAGAGACAGTGGGTGAGGAAGCCTCACAAATAGATTGGAACAATAGATGGTCCCCCAATTAATGGCCCAGGCTTTTGTCTCTCACTTGTAGGTCAGAAGGCCCTAACTGATGACAGACTATCCTTGGCAGAAGCTACTATCTAGGGGCTCCCATCCTGGAATTTTGTCAGGAGTTCCACTCATCACCCCACTTATCTGCTCATCTGCCTCAGAGCCCCAGAAATTCTTAGGCTTGTCATAGCATCTGTGAAAATCTCACTCTGGCAAGCAAAGAGTCGAGTGAGCCCCACCCCCATTTTTTCCCTGCATACATAATTTGGTTAGCGTTCTAGAAAACGGAACTGAAAACTAAGGACTATATGACTTTTTTTCCCCCCACTGGTTCTGAGGCTTGATCTCAGGGCCTTCACCTTCAGCCAGTGAGGGTTTTTTCGAGATAGGGTCTCAGAGAACTATTTGCCTGGGCTAGCTTCAAACCATGATCCTCTTGATGTCTGCCTCCTGAGTAGCTAGGATTACAGGTGTGAGATACCAGTGCCAGCTTTGTACAACCTTTTAAAAGAGCCTCTTTCCTGATTTTTGTTCTTAGATCCTAACTAGAGTTGACACAGAAGGGATGTTGAAGGATTTCAAGGAATGTGGGAGAGGGTTCAAATTCTGGCTTTTCCACTGCCTGGTTGACTTTAACTTCCTCATTCAAAAAAGTGGGATTAAGACTGCCACTTGTTTTATGATGCAGACAGACAATCTAATAAGCAAAGTACATTGCCTTCCCAAATGGTAGTATTATGTAGATGACTTTTCTTTATTCCCTCTGTCTTTGCACAGTTCAGGCTCTTATTATGTTTCTCTCATGTGTGCTTCCAAGCCACCCTCCCGACTTCCATTCTTTGCTTCTGCCACCCATTTTCCAGCATGGTGTGAAACACAAAGTTGCATTGCATGTCACTACTTCCTTTATTTTGAAGAACAAAGTCTTAATCTTCAATGTAGCATCCTTTTAGAAACAGTCTTCTGAGTCTTGTGCTTCCATTCATTCACTCATACCGACAGTTACTGCTTTGAGCATCTTTTGTACACTAGATACTAAGTCACCCCCTTCACACAGATCATCTCATATAATCCCCAAAATAATGCTATCCTCTAGATCTCAATTTAACAAAAGAGGAAACGTGGCCCAAAAGGACAGTGGAAGTCACCCAAGAGTGCACAGCGAGCTGATCATAGGTTTGAATTCACCATCTGGCATTCTCCGTGGTTGGAGCTCTTTGTGCTGAGCAAGCTGCCTCCAGAGCAGCAGGGAAGGATTCCCAGCAGAGGTGCCAGGATAAAGGGATGTGAAAGCAGTGTTTGGAAGAAGGGTGCTGGGGGTGAGGACGCAATCTCCATTTTCAGAGGGTGGTGGTCAGGAGTGCCCACCTGGACTTGGAGAGAGAACTGTAGGCCCAGCCCTCTGAGCTTGGACCCGATGTTATCTTCCACTTTTCTCAAATCCCCCTCCTCCCTTCCCTTCCAACACAGAGCTGGATGTGTCTAGTATAGCTACTTGGGATATGTTTATTGCTTCTGGTAGTCACATCCCCTTTCTGGGCTGTGGGGAACTGAAATGGGGAAATACCTGCTTCTACTTCTCTTGTAGGGCTGCTTTCTGTCTTTGGGAAATAGCCTCAAAGCAACTAGTGGTGGTCAAGCTGTCCTGATGCATGTTGAACAAGCAGTTTTCCTTTTGCCTTCCCCAGAACCCCCACCCTAACACATGTGAAATGAAGAAACCTGGCTTTCTTTACCATTCGACCTACCACCTTTGCCTGCCCACCTGAAGATAGATTTTGCGCGTGCGCGGGGGCGGGGGGGGGGTTGGAGCTGGGGGGTGGTATGTTCCATGTGCAGGGGTTCCAGGACACCTCCTCTTTTTATAAATATATGTAAGCAGTTTTTTTGAGAACACCTAATGTTAGGGAGATTCCTGCCAAACCCCGTGAAACAGACTTGTTTTTTTCAGAAGGGTGAAGTGACTTGCTCAGGGTCACGATGTCAGTCGGTAGCAGAGCCATCCTATGCCCACTTGTTAGAACGAAAAGCCAACCGATACTCAAGCAACTCTCCTTGACTTGAGGGGAGTGTGTTCGCGTGGTGGGGGTGAAGCAGCATTTGGGGGTCCTCGCTTGTCGCATTGGTCCCCGCTCCTTAGGGGAAGCCAAGGTCCCAAGCATCATACAATACAGAGTCCTAACCAGGTACCTCAATGAGCCCGCGTGCTAGCGACATTCGGGGTGGGGGTGGGGGGGCTAGGCTGATTTGGTACGCGGTGTGGCCAGGGGACCTACTGAGTCTTCGCCACTCTATTTGCAAAACAGAGACCGCTCGCTTCCTCCCCGCCCCTCCGCTACTCCCTCCTTCTCTCTTTCCCCGGTCCCCTCCACCCCACACCCCCGGTCCCTTGCTCCTCCCTAGCGGATCCCTCCTCCGGGGCTCTCCCACCCCCGCCTAGCGCGGAGTCCGGAGGCACCTGGGGGAGGGGAGTCCTGGGCTGGGCCGTGCTGGAGAGACGCCTGGGGCACTGCCCGGCGCTAACAAAGGGAGTAGGCTGCGAGCCGGTGTCGACGCGGAGCAAGCGGAGCAGGCAGAGCAGCCGCAGCCTTCCCGGCTGGAAGCGCAGCGAGTGAGTAGGGGTGCGGTGGGCGGCAGCGCGGCTGGGGCTCCCGGGGTGGAGTGATGCAAAGGGGCGTCGGAGCGGAGCAGAGCGGTGGGGCCCGCGGCGCGCCTAGGGCGCTGGGTGTGTGTCTCCCGCACCACCTCTACTGCTTTCGCTGTGAAGCCCGCCGCAGTGGGCTGGGGTGCTGTATATTGACCAGGCCGAGGGGCCGCCCTGGCTTTTCCTGGGCTCGGTGAGCCTGCGGATCCACAACAAACCCACGTGTGCGCCGCCCCAAGGAACCTTGCTTTCTCCAATCCATTGTGTAAACCCATCTTGCAGAGTCCAGGTTCCTTCCAATCTTGCCTACTTGGTTTACAGATCGGGAAACTGAGGCCCGCGGCGGGAAAGGAGCACAGACACCACAACAAACGCACGTGCGCCCTGCCGTGGGATCTGGGCGCACCGCGAGCCCTGGTGAGCCGCCCTGCGGGGCCAGGCTATTGTCTCAGCTGCGCGGGAGGGAGCGGCGCCGGAGGCGCCACTTGCTGGAGAAGGGCGACAGACATTTAAAAGATACCACTTGGGCATCGACTAAAACTGCCAGATTTAAAAAGGGAAAAACGAAACAAGAAAGCAGCTACAAAAAGATTACCCGAGGCGGAGAGTCTGTCCCTGGTCATGGCGCATTCCTTTAGGTATAGTGGACAACTCACACCTCACGAAGGTTTCCTATAGATGGGGAAAAAACTAAGGGTCTATTGGTCCCCTTGCCCGGCGTACCATAGTCCTCGCACTCTGGGCCACTGTCTGTGTTGGGAAATCGCGAGCGCCCCCCTAGCCTGCAGAAAGAACTGACTTCAACATCGGCCAGCAAGGGGTTTCGCCTGCTCTTTGCCTTGCAGGTCCCTGCGCCTAGACACCCCCAGGTGTCACTGGCTTCTTTTGACTTATTATGTGTTTTCACAGCAAGACCAACCAAGCCCTCTTAATTTCAGGCGGGGACGTACGTAATATTTTCAATTCTATCAGATCATTTGAAAGTGAGACCTTTTGTTTTGCCATTTCTTTGCTTACATATACTCAGTTCAGCTCTGCAGGTTTTACTGCAGATCTGGCCTGGAAGCGGGTATCAATTGATCTCGTCGGTGATGGTGTCAGTGGGTGGCAGGGTGGTGGGGTAAAACCGTAAGATTGTGGGAGTGATGATAGTCTGCGCAGGAGTGAAGGCACCGCAGCCTGACTTTGTTTGCTGTGCAGTCCGGCTGCTGCTGTTTTACCTTGGTTAGTATCGTTGGAGACTAACCTACCTCTGAGGAGAACCGGAAACCCTTCAAGACCTGTACTACTGTTATTGAGAGGGTCTAGAGAGTATCTAGCCAACCTTCCTATATTTCACAGAAGGGAAGATGTGATCTGAGAGTTCAGCTACTTGCCCAAGTTAAAAACGAAGAGAGGACTCAGGTGTGGGTCTCCCAGCTCCACGCTGCACCGCCCCTGCCAGCATCTAAAGGAAGAACCAGGATTCTGTGGTTGGCTTAAAAGGCAGTGAGTGGCCTTAGGCAGAATAGAGTTAAACAAAGAAAGTAATTCAAATTGAAAGCTTCACCCCTCCATTATCCCTTTCAAGAGTTCTTATTCTGCCGAGAAAAGATAGATTTAGTAATTCCTTACTCTCTTTGCCTTTCATAGTGCATTATTTTTCTCTCCTGGCTGCCCCCTTCCCCTTAGATTGGAACTGGGCCAACTATGGAGACTTAGATGTTTTGCCTCTCATCCCTGTGCCAGGAGGCCTTTGTTTGGGCAGAAGTAGGGGCTGTTGACATGAGCCCCGCTGGGAGGAAAGTGTCTCTTATAGCTGCCTGCTTCTAAGCCCCTCCTGGGAGAACAAAGCATTGTTTTCATTGATTTTATTTAATTTATTTTTTTTATGAGTCCCACGGAAGTAGCTGCTTATTTTTGTATTTGGCAGAGGAGAAGTTGGAAAACCAAAAAATGCCCTGAGGCTGTTTATGGTTTCCCCTTGCCCCTGTTATCTCCTAGCTACACTTGTTTCTTACCTTAGCCTTTCCAGGCTATTTCACTTTCAAAAGAAATCCACTTGCCAGTGAATTTCTCTCCTCAGGATGCTAACTCACTAAGGAAATTAAGAAATCATCTGGCTGGACTCTGGATCCTTTAGTTTCCATATAGGAAAATTAACTCCCAAAGAAGAGAAATTACTTGTCCAACCATGAAAAGCATGGCACACTCTACTTTTAATGCCTTTCTTTGTGTAAAAGAGAAGCTGTTGCATCAAACAAGTTGTTGTTGGTACCCCAGAGTAAAGTCAAAGTTATGATGGTTGTTATAACAACACCCTTTAAGTCAAAGAATGAATTCCTTAAGGGTTTGAATGGGTCTGGTTATTAAACAAAGCCGTGGATCCCAACGGTAGATATGGCAAGGAGTAAGTAGTACAGTTATCACTGGGAATCAGTTTTCTTTATTGCTTACTCAGTGGTTCACTTTGCTTTTGTACTGGGTTCCGCATTGTCTGTCTCTTGCTTCCCTCAGTTAGGGAGTTGTTTTGCATATAATTATAAAGCAGAGAGCAGGGAGAAGTCAGAAGCTAGACTCCATTTAGGTATTATAGTACTTAACTTCCTGGAATCCTGTTTTCTTCTTTATCCAATCAGAGTCCCACCTGCCCTGTCTCTGCATGGGCTTTTCTAGGGAGAAGATGTTAAGGCCTTAGAGTTAGAGGAGAAGGTTTGGGTCACTCTTCCTCTCTCCTGTGTTACTTTAGGACCAGTAGGCCTCCTCTCAGTGTATAATGTGAGGGGAATGAGCTGGGGGTTGTGGGGGGTTTTGGTCATAGGATACATGCATAGACTCAGCCTCATGACAGGCACCTGGTCACCAGCTTTTTATGTGGTGGAGAATGATGGTTGCAGAACAATACCATGGGGTAAACTCCTGTGCTTGGATTAGGAGTCACAAAGAGGTGTGAATGCCTGCCAAATTGTAAAGGGAGGTTTTGGTAGTTGTGAAGCCTAAGTATAAAAACAGATCAAGAACAAAGCTAGGGCTTTAACACCTAAGTGAGTACAATCTCAAATCATTCCATTTATTAACTCTCTATTCACTGACATGAAGGCAGCGAAGGTGGAGAAGGATTACAAAGTATAGACCATTCTTTGCCCTAAGTGATTTATAGTTTTTCAGGAAGCCCAGCTCAGCTCTACCACCCTTGCTCAGAGTACATATGGGTCCGTCTCAGAAATTGCCCTCAAAAGCTCTAATTTATCTCAGTATTGACCTCTGGGAATCCCCCTATCTTTATTAGCAAAGGCAAGAACTGGTGGTAAATAAGAGAGTGGAAAATGGAAGACTTTTCAAAGAGAATGTGGCTCTCCATAATATGAGAATGTGGTTCCATTAAAAAAGTGCCAAGAGCTGGGCATGGTGGTTCATATCTGTAATCCTAGTTACTCAGGAGTTGAGATAGGAAGATCATGGTTCAAGGCCAGCCTGGGCAAAATTTAGGGAGACCTTATCTCAAAAAACAAGTCAGGTGTGGCGGTGCACACCTTTGGTCCCTGCTACTCTGGAGGATCATGTGCTGAGGTCAGCCCACGCAAAAGTCATCTGTTGCAATAGAATCCTTGACAATTTGGAGTTCATTGCTCGACCTGATATCAGAGATTTGTTTCACAAGAACTGAATCAAGGAAATGAGAATTTTTCTTGCTTGTATGCATGCATCCTTAAGCTACATGATGGCATTCTGACTCCTGTCAATGTACTTTTTATAGGTTTATATGTAACACTAAGCCCTGCAGTTTCACAATACTGGGTGATTTTCTAAGCCACTGCTAAAAGGATCAGGTTAGCTAGCCTTCAGAATCAAGCTGGTGATTCAAATTTTACTTATTGTTCTGATTACAAAAATAAAGCATTACCATTGAATGTAATGGTAATAACATTACCATTACAGAACAAAAAAATAGAACAAAAAAAAATTTCCACCATCCGAAAGCAGCCAGTGTTAATACTTGGCAATTTTCCTGTTGGTCTCTTTCTCTCTCTTTTATTTTAATGGGTTATTTTCTCTAAATGGTTGAGGACATACTGTATGTGCAGTTATGTCTCTTGCCCTTCATAATATATGCATTTCATAGCTTACATCTGCATTAAAGCTACACCCTTTGATTTGTCATCCCTATCAGCTGCATAGCATCTTCAAGGTCATGTGGTCCCATGGAATCTGATGACTTCAGTACTTGTTTCAGAGAGGGCCTATGAGAGCCTGCAAGGAAAGAGCCTCTACCTCCCTCTGCCTTTGCCACCCCGCCTCAAGCCTTCAAATGTCAGCTGTAGGTTTTTCAGAAGTCCAAAAGTAATGGTATTAGAGGGAGAAGAACCTTGTATATGACCATGAGTTCTAGTCCTACCCTAGTGACCTTCAAAAACTCACTATAATGCTCCAGTTCTGAGCTTCTGTAAGTTTTCTTTCTGTCTTCTTCTTCTTTTCTTTAGATTTACTGGAGTTAGAACTTAGGGCCTCATACTTACTAGGCAGGTGCACTACCCCTTGAGCCGCTCCACCAAACCCTTTCTATAAGTGTTGAACAGGCAACTCCAGGATCATTTATTAATTCATTCGTCATTATTCAAGTGCCCATCTAAAACAAAGATGAGTAACAAAGCTAAACTTTTAAGACGCTCACAGTCCAAAAGAGGTGACATGGGTGACAAGAGACTAGGCAAATGCTGTGTGATCACAGAAGAGGGGCAACCTCCCGGACCTGCAGCAGTCTGTGGGAAATGCTTCCTGGATGGGGGCCACTATTGGATAGTCAAACCATTCCTAATTTTTCCCTGTTATAATTGACATTGACATGCTTACAAGCAAATCTCTGTTCATTTTCCAGAATTTCCACAGGATACAGATCTAGAGTTGGAATTATTGGGCCTGGCCACTTAGAAAACTTCATAGATATAGTCTAATTACACATAAAGTCTTAAGTAGAGAAGTATTGTATTGTGCATATTGTAGAAATTAAGAACATGAACAATTCAGGATTTGATCTCTTGCTTGCCATTTACCACCTGGGAAGATAAGGATACAGTTAAGTGTATGAAGCTTCATTTTCTTCTGTAAATTGGGGATAGCAATGTTTACCTCTTGGGCAGTTCTAAGGATGACATGATATTACATGTCCAGTACAGTGCCAGGAATACAGGAAGCACTCAGTTAATGATAGCTGTTATTTTTATAATTAGGTTTTTCACCAGCTGCAGAAACTTTTGGTCCTAATATTTGTTCTTAGCATGACAGCAGGTCCTTACAGGGCTTTTTGTGCTGAAAGAAGTAGAAAGTTAAAGTAGAACCTCCTACCTATCAGGTGACGAACTGAGAGAGAAATGATCATTTCATAATGCATTAAAAAATCTTTTTATTATGGTAGAAATGAGGGTGTAATAAACTCCATA